AACAAAGAGACAGCCTCAGCGTGGGACAAGTTAGAGCTCTTGGCATGACCACCTGCAACAAAAGAAGCTAAAAGTTAGTGGTTTGATAATAGGGTAATGGAGCATGAAGAAGAAAACAAAAACCTTTAAAGCTTGAGGAAGAAGGCTGGAGGCTTGATGTGTATAACTGGAAGGTTAAGAGTAGGAAAAAAGAGAGTTTTCGGGTAACCAAAAAAAAAATTTCAAACAGCAAAATGAGAGTAGAAAATGGAAGGTTTCTAGAAAGCTAATGTAAAGAAAAATAAAAGAAAGAAAGCTTGAGGAGCACCTGGGAATTTTTTGTAGAGAAACAAGGTTTGGAAAAGGTAAAGGAGGGAATCAAGAAGGAAGAAGGTGGAAGCTTTGTAAAAAAAAAAAGAAAGAAAGAGAATAGCTTGCTGAAACAGGTGGGACTTTCACTTTTCTTGGTTAGTTCATTTAACTTCAAAGCTGTCATGCTTCTATAAAAAAAAAAATCTAAAGAACAAAATATAGTTTTACTTTTCCATATCTACTTCACTTGAAGAATGAAAAGTATTAAAAGACATGAGCTGTTGAGTTGAAAGAAAAACTGGTAAAGCCCAGTAAAGAAAAAGAAAAACTAAAAAAATAATAATAAAACTACATAGCAAATAAAGCAAAGTGGATTCCTCGGCCCTTTGCCTCGTTCTGTTTTATTTGTTTCTCTTGTTCGAAGGTTAAAATTTCTTTCTTTCATAGTTTATGGTTCTCTCCTCCTGCATTTGTGTTGTTTTGTTTTGCATATGGGCTGCTTGTGGGGAGTCTTACTGCTTTGTTTTTTCGTGATTCACTGGATATTGCATGAAGGCAGGTTCCAAAGTTATCTTGTTGGCTGTTCACAAATTTGAGATTTCATGGCATGTCATTCTTGTTTCTGGTGCTCTTGTGTTTGCAATGTGGTCCATGTTTAAATAAAACATAAACTGTAAAATGGCTTCCGAAGTAGGGGAAGGAAGCAGCGTAAAAGAAGCAGGGTCTTGAATCTTGTTTCATCATTTCATTCTAATCTTTTCTGTATGGATAAGGTACACAGGAGCATAAAGCTCCATCACTTCTGTGTTTGTTGCCTTGTTTGTTTGCTTTCCTTTTTCCACGGCATCTGATTGCTTTATTGGTCCTTTGCTTATGGAGAGGAAAGCTCAAAACTTTCATGCCTAGTCATTCATTTACATGGTGAGAAAATTTTTTTTTAAATTAAGTCATCACTTCGAGACCCTATCTCTTATGTCTTGTCTTAAGTTTTATATAGGCTAATAAATGATCTATTACATTTGTCTTTCATTTATGTTCATCTCTTTTATGGTTTTTTTAAGTTCAATTTAAGCTTTAAAAAAAAAAAATCCCCATCGTGAACATCATAAGAAAGCTTAAAGCTTTCATTTTTTTTATCCTGCATGGTAATAGCATAAAGGGGGAAAGAAAGCCAAAAAAACTAAACCATTATTTCAAGATCCCACCGCTCATGTTTTTTATTCTAGATTTTATAGGTTACTAGATCATTTAGTATAGTTATTTTTTATATTATATATGTTCATTTTTTTATGTTATTGAGTTTAATTTAGGCTTAAATCTCATATATTATGATATTTGTGTTGTTTGAACCTTTGTGTTAAATTTAGTTCTATGCAATTTATTTTTTTTACGTTGTACGTTATTTTTGATTCAATATATTTTTTATATACGCTAGCTTCATACAACAATAACAACAACAACAACAACAACAATAATAATAATAATAACGAAAATCTCCGAAAATGAGATTTTAAGAAAATTCGAGTAGTGATTCCTTAAACTCCCTATGTGAAAATATTTTTTTTAAAAAATTAATACCAAAGTATTTTAGAAAAAATATTCAATACAAAAGATTTTTATTAAATGTTGATGAAATAATATATAATTACGCTTTTAGTGATGAAATTAATATAATGATACATGAATATTATGATTAACTATTGTATTTTTTAAAAAAATTAAAAAAATCAATAAATAATAATTAAAATTAGAGTTAGAATAAAAATTAAATAAGAGGAAAGAAAAGTAAACGAAATTTATAAAGATGAGATTTTAAGGAAGTCTGAGTAGAGATTTCTAAAAAATCCTTAGGTGAGAAATTTTTTTTTTAAATACAACAAAAATATTGGAGTATTTAGAAAAAAATTCAATAAAAGAATTTTATTTGCTTTGTTCCCTTAAAAATTTTTAATAATAATGATTGTTGCATAATTAGGTGATTAAGACAAAATTAAAATGAGTAATGAAGAAATATAATATAAAGAAGATAAGTAGCAAGTTTATTAAAATATATATAAAATATGCAATAAAATATGTGTTGGCAGATTGAAAGTTGGCTGCGTTCATTAACTCCACGTGCTCAAACGCTGCAAGCTTTTGTGTGTGCTAAATGCACTAGGCTAGGGTATGCACCTTTCAATAGTAATTACTTTTGGGAGAGTTGGTAGCACCTAAGGTCCTAAAAGTGATATTAGAGCCAAGGTTATGGGTTCGAGTCTTAGTGGTGTTGCTAGATGGAAGATTGGAGGTTGGTTACGTCCAACAACTTTATGTGTTGCTTGAACGCCATAAGCGCTTTTGTGTGCTGGGTCAACTATAAAGCTAGGATATGCGCATTCCTAACAATAATTGCTTTTGGGAGAGTTGGTAGCGCTTGAGGTCCTAAGAGTGTTAGCTTTGAATTGATTTTTATTTTGAATGATAAAATATTAAGCTAAATAAGTTTGATTAAGATTTTGAAAAATATTTATTTAGTACACGTTTTTAACTTTTATTATTTTGGTATTAAATAAATAATATGATTTTTAAAGTTTAAACAAACCTTTCTTTATATTTTCATTTTTCTTAAATCAAAAGTATTTTTAAATATTATTTATTTGAGTTTAAATGAAAGTCCAACTGTTGTTTTTAAAATGAATCTATATATTATGGACTCAATATAATTTTGATAATATTGGTTTTGAGAAATAGATTAACTTAAGAAAGTTGTTTTACAAGAACAAAGTTTTTCAACATTGAACTTGTTTTATTTTTCTGTATTAATTCACAAAGTTTTAATATTTAAATTTTATATGGTTGGAAAACTCTTTGAGTCTACTTTCTAATGGATCAAACAACATAAAAATCTAAATTTTTTAAGAAAAGATTTTAAATTTTTACTCGACATTTTGCAATTGTCTAAAGACTGCATCAAGAGTAGTTTTGAAAATTCACATCTAATTTGTATATAATGAATTAGGTGATAAATTTTATATGAATAAAAAGCCTTTTAAGTCTAGTTTCTAAATCTTTAAGCAGTTTTTGATTTGGAATTGTATAACTCAAGATATGATCAAATTAGTGAGTAGAGTGTAAAACAAAAAACAACTACCTAGCTTGACTGGATTGATCCCCGGGGTTACAGGATCGATCCCTTGGCTAAACCAATCAATCCCCTATTGTAATAGATCGATTGATTTTTCTTACAAAAATAAAATAAATTTAAAAAACACCAAAAAGGATCGATCCCTTATAAGAAGGGATTGATCGGATAAGGCACGAGATCGATCTCCAATACCCAGAAAAGCTCTCATGGCTAGGTTTTCCAGCTTCAACATTTTTTTTTCAACTCCAAACCATCCCTAACGGCTAATTCTTCAATTCTTCTATAAATTTGACATTCAAACATACTAAGAAAGTTGAAGGATTAAGAGAGCAAGATCAGACAAGTTTTATTTTTATTTTTTCAAAAAAATCAAGAGTTTTAAAGCTTAAATTCAATATCCTCTGTATTTCTTGTATCCAAAATATTGTTGTGTTTCATTTATCAAATTTCTTTATACTTCATTAGGTAAACACTTAACCTTGAAAGGTATTTTAGTTTGAAAAAATTATTTGGGTTATCATTTAAACAAGAAGTGAGGTATCCTATTGATGTTGTAAGGGTAGAGATTACTATCTAAGCTTTAAGATGTATCTTGTAAGAGTTTTTCTTCAATTAGTGGATTAAAGCCTCGGTATGGATAACCAAGAAGAGAAGACGTATGTGCCTTGTAGAGAAAAATCGAATATCTATAAATAATTGTGATTGATTTCTCTATCCTTATCTCCTTACATTTATTGTTGTTTTATATTTAATTCTAGGTTCATTAGTTGTTATTGATTATATCATATTTTCATCAAAAGTATTTATTGATTTAATATTTCATTCAATTATCTTGAAATTATTGTTTGAGAAGAATTTAGAGAAATCTAATTTACTCCCTTATTTATATTTAATTCTAGGTTCATTAGTTGTTATTGATTATATCATAGTTTCATCAAAAGTGTTTATTGATTTAATTTTTCATTCAATTATCCTGAAATTATTGTTTGAGAAGAATTTAGAGAAATCCAATTCATTCCCTTGGTTCACCATCTCTCCTAAAAAACTAATAATTAGTATCAAGCATTTAGTATCTTTTTGTAGGTTTAACCACTTTGAGTAAAGATCTTATGGCTCAATTTAGGTTCTAAGATGGTAAGGAAGTCCTTAAAGCTCCTATGTTTAATAAATTTGAATTTTGTGAATGAAGAATGAGGATGACGGTGTTCTTGATGGCTCAAGATTTTAAAGTTTGAAATTTGATAAAAAAAGGGCTTGAAATTCTTTTAAATGATGCAAACTACATAAGGTAAGTGATGGATGTTACCAAAGCCAAGTGCTTACTATATGAAGCTCTTGACTCCCACAACTTCAACTTAGTATCAAAGTTTTCAACCTCAAATGAGATATAGAAGTTGGATGAAATATATGAAAGACAACAATCCAACCGAAATGTATTATGTCTTATGGCTATTAAAGATCCGAAGCTAATCTTTAATTCTATTGATTCAAATTCATATACTTTTGATGAATTGCAAGATGCTTATAATGAGCTATATGTTGAATGTGAATCAATGAAGAGGAAATATAAGAAAATGATTTTTTGATGAAGAAAGTGATTGTTTTATCAATAGTTGAAACCAAGTTGGGAGACATTTAGGCATATATTCCTACTAATGTGATTTTCATTACAGATGGACAAATATTATTATCTATTGATCTATTCAATGCTAGAGTCAGACCTGCTATTAATGTCAGGATTTTTGTCTCCAGAGTAAGATCTGTGGCTCAAATTAAAGTTATGAAACAAGTCATTGGTAAATTAAAATTGGAATTGGCCCAATTCGTCGAATTAAAAACTTTTGTGTAATTTGCTTCTAATTTCAATAAAGCTACTCAGAATCGATTGGCAAGAGGTCAACGATTACGTGAGTTGCTTAAACAATCCCAATCAGACCCTCTTACCGTGGCAGAACAGATAAGTACTATTTATACCGGAACGAATGGTTATCTTGATTCATTAGAAATTGGACAAGTAAGTAAATTTCTCGTTGATTTACGTACTTACTTAAAAACGAATAAACCTCAGTTTCAGGAAATCATATCTTCCACCAAGACATTCACTGAGGAAGCGGAAACGCTTTTGAAAGACGCTATTCAGGAACAAATGGAACGTTTTCGACTTCAAGAACAATTATAAATATAAAATTCTAACTTACTTAAATTTAATTTTGAGGTCTTTAAAGGTAGGGGTGAGCAAAAGTCGGTTTGAACCGATTAGACTGACTGAAACTGAGTGAATTCGATTGAATCGATTCGGTTTATTCGATTTTAGTTATAATCAATTTTTTAAATTGATTAAATTGGTTAATTCGGTCGGTTTTCGGTTTTTAAAATTGATAACGACACTGACTGAATTAACCGACTTTTTAATAATTAAAAATTAAAAAAATTGAGATAAATATTTTTATTTATTTATTTATTTTTAAAATATTGTTGAAATTATTAAATTCTTTAGTAATTTAGTTTGAATGATACTAGAGTTTAAATTTTATTGAATTGAATTTGTGGTTAAATAATTATTCATAATAGGAAGAAAAATGATAAAAATAATCAGTTATTTAATCGAACCGAATCGATTTTAGTCGGTTCAATTATGATCGATTATTTAATAATATTTGATCCGTTCGATTATTTGTTAAATAAAAGTCAATTAATTTGATTATTGATTTTTTCAAATCGAACCGACCGAACTGACCATTTACTCACCCCTATTTAAAGGGTCAAGGAAACATGTAAGAATTCTTGAATGAAACTAGAAAAGAGATGTAACTCCAATTTCTTCAAAAATGGTAAGATCTTTGGTGCAAGAATAAGGGGCTGATCCATATCATCTTGACTTGGTTCTAATTTTTCTATTAATACTGCATCGAACAGAACATAATAAGGCAAACTTTCTTCATGTAAAACTTGCTTAATTTAGATCGAGAAAATTGTACGATTTTATGAACCCATGTGTACATGACTCGAATCTGTAATCAATCCTATTTCTGATAAGAGTAGTTGACAATTAAATCCAATTTTTTTCATTATTTTTGTATCCATAATAATGTAAAAGGAAAGCATGGCTTCAAGTTGTTCAAGAATAGTGGCGTTGTTGAGTTTCTCCTTTGCATAAGGATTAGTTAGTTCTATTTCTTGATGGAGGTAGGGAAGGGACTTTCCCATTTGAGTGGTGATAATTATAAAATCTGAAAAGAAAAATTCTTTTTTGTTTGGGGTGCATAGACTTTGATTGTGCTCTTCATTAAAATGAGTCATCAACATTCACGGATGCTAATACCCAGTTGAGATTTGTCAAAAAAAATGTTGGAAGCGATCTAATCGCTTGAATATGATGTTCAAAAAATCTCATGTTATGACTAATATTTGTAGGTCTATACTTGAGTGCAAAAATGTTAAGGAATTGATGAAGATTATTGATGAGCAATTTGAGTCTTTAGATAAGATATTGGCCGGCGCCCTGATGGCAAAATTGTCATCAATGAAGTTAACTGACACCAAAGGAGTGCTAGCGTATATCATACAAATGATAGATATGACTACTCAATAAAAGTCAGTGAAAGGTGGCAAAAATAGTGTTCTTCTCTCTTTATTGTTTAAATTCAAATCCGATTAAAGGTTATAAAAAGATTATTTTATCATAAATTTACTAGTTCTAATATAAATTAGTTAGATAAGTTTGCTTCGACCGGCTAAAAAAAATGTATTAGGGCTTTGGTCTCTTTTTGTAGGTTTAATCACCTTGAGTAAAGATCCTATGGCTCAATTTAGGTTTCAACATGCTAAGAAAATCCTCAAAGCTCCTATGTTTGATAAATTTAAATTTTGTGAATGAAGAATGATGATGAAGGTGTTCCTAATGGCCTAAGATTTTAGAGCTTGGAATGTGATAAAGAAAAGGCTTGAAATTCTTTTAAATGATGCAAACTACATGAGACAAGTGATGGATGATGCCAAGGCCAAGTGCTTACTATATGGAGCTTTTGACTCCCATAATTTTAATTTGGAATCAAAGTGTTCAACCTTAAATGAGATATGTGAGAAATTGGATAAAATACATGAAAGGTAATAATCCAATCGAAATACATCATGTTTCATGGTTCTTGAAGATCCGGAGGTAATCTCTAATTTTATTTATTCAAATTTATATACTTTTGATGAATTGCAAGATGCTTATAATGAGTTATATGTTAAATGTAAATTAATGAAGAGAAAATATAAGAAAATAATTTCAAAATTAAATGTTGAAAATAAATTTTTAATGAAGGAAGTGTGATTGCTTTACCAATAGTTGAGACGCAGTTGGGAGACATTTAGCCATATATTCCTACTGATGTGATTGTCATTACAGATGGACAAATATTATTATCCATTGATCTATTCAATGTTGGAGTCAGACCTGTTATTAATGTAGGGATTTTCGTCTCCAAAGTAGGATCCGTGGCTCAAATTAAAGTTATGAAACAAGTTGTTGGCAAATTAAAATTGGAATTGGCCCAATTCGCCAAATTAGAAACTTTTGTGTAATTTGCTTCTAATCTCAATAAAACTACTCATAATCAATTGGCAAGAAGTATTACATGAGTTGCTTAAACAATCCCAATCAACCTTTCTTATCATGGCAAAACGGATAAGTACTTTTTATACCGAAACAAATGGTTATCTTAATTCTTTAGAAATTGGACAAGTAAGGATTTTTGTCTTTGAGTTACATATTTAAAATCCAATAAACCTTAGTTTTAGGAAATCATGTCTTCCACCAAGACATTCACTGAAGAAGCGAAAATGCTTTTGAAAGATGCTAGTTAGGAATAAATGGAACATTTTCGACTTCAAAAACAATTATAAATATAAAATTCTAACTTAAATTTAATTTCAAGGTCTTTAAAGGATCGAGGAAATATGTAAGAACTCTTAAATGAAATTAGAAAATAGATGTAACTCCAATTTCTTTGAAAATGGTAAGATCTTTGGCGCAAGAATAAGGGGCTGATCCATATCATGACTTGGTTCTAATTTTTCTATTAATAGTATATCGAATAGAACATACTAAGGCAAACTTTCTTCATGAAAAACTTGCTTAATTTATATCAAGAGAATTGTATGGTTTTATGAAACCATGTGTACATGACTCAAATCTATCATCAATCCTATTTTTGATAAGAGTAGTTGACAACTAAATCCAATTTTTTTTTTCATTGTTTTCAAATCCGTAATAGTGCAAAAGGAAAGCCTGCTCCAAGTTGTTCAAGAATAATGGCGTTGTTGAGTTTCTCAATCTTTTACCTAAGGATTAGTTAGTTCTACTTCTTGATGGGAGTAGGGAAGGGATTTTCCTATTTGAGTGGTGACAATTAAAAAATCTAAAAGGAGAAATTCTTCTTTGCTTTTCATAAAGATAAGTCATCAACATTTATGGATGCTAGTATCTCAGTTGAGATTTGTACAAAAGGTTGGAAGCAATCTAATCACTTGAATATGATGTTCAACAAATCTCACATCACGATTAATATTTGTAGGTCTATACTTGAGTGCAAAAATGTTAAGGAATTAATGAAGGTTATTGATGAGCAATTTGAGTCTTTAGATACGATATTGGCCGGCGCCCTGATGGCAAAATTGTCATCAATGAAGTTAACTGACACCAAAGGAGTGCTAGCGTATATCATACAAATGATAGATATGACTTCTCAATTAAAGTCAGTGAAAGGTGGCAAAAATAGTGTTCTTCTCTCTTTATTGTTTAAATTCAAATCCGATTAAGGGTTATAAAAAGATAATTTATCATAAATTTACTAGATCTAATATAAATAAGTTAGATAAGTTTGCTTCAACCGGCTAAAAAAAATGTATTGAATAAAGTAAAAAAACCGGTCGCTGCTTGACAAAAAAAGTCCTTTAAAGTACTGGAAGAGAAATGTGCATATATGAATAAACTACTCAGTTTAACAAAACCAACTCGATTTCAGGAGGAAAATACATACACGAAAGAGCTCAAACAAACCGGACATGCTCATTTTTCTTTTCATGGTGGGTGCATGTTCTGCAATTTTTTTGCATCATGTTCACTTTATATGAGCAAAACAATCTCAATCAAAAAGAGAACATTCTACAGTAGATGTGCAGAGAGCAGTTAATTTTTTTGCCCATCATGTCTTGATGTCACTGGTGCTTTTTTGAGTAGATTCCACATTAATTGTTTAATTACATCCAGAAGTACAGCATTGCCTGTGCACATATATCAGTCACGTTATCAAGCTTTGAAGAAAATGAATACAAATATAATGAAATCCAGAATGCTGAAAAGACTAAGCAGGCCTTTGCCATACCTGTGACCATTAATATTTGAAAGCAGATCAAAGCAATATAATGCATGTGGATGCAAGAGAGTTATAAAAAGAAAATGGTAATCTGATTCATTTAATACGATGATATAATATAAAAATAATATAATAAAAAATATAAAAATAATATTATTTAAAATTTTAATAAAAATATTTAACAAAAACTAAAAAGGATTTTGTATTTTATGTGTAAATACAATTGTGATATATAATTTTAACATAAAAATATTATATAAATATATAAATTATCATTATTTTATCCTATATGAATATACAAATTCCTAAGTAGTCTAGAGAAAGGGCAATCACAAGAAATAGATAACAAGTGGAAAGTCATACCTCTGTGAGAGGAAGTAGAGTCACCTCATCCGAAGGCGAGGATTTCTTGGGTCTCCAACTTCTCATCTCAGATTGTATTGAATTAAGCTGTTCTCGTAGATCCTTTAACAAATTCAATGCCTCTTCCCTTCCTTCACTAATTTCATGCCTTCTATTGTTTCTCCCACTCTCAAGCTGCTCAACTCTCTGATTAAGCTGTTGCAACTCAGATTTACAGTCAGTAACACTAGTGTGTCGGTGAAGAAAGGCCGATTTGCAGTCAGCATTTGTCTGATCTCTCAGTTTGCATAATCTTTTCTCATGGTTTGCATTCAGCAAGTTATTCATTTTTACCCTTTCAGTTTCATATTCAGCAGGCAATTTGCAGTCAGCATTCGACTCATCTCTCACTTTACATGATTTTTTCTCAGGCTTTGCACTCGGAAAGTTATTCATCTTTATCCTGTCAACTTCTGCAGGTGGTTCAAAAGTTTCTCCCACGATCAAGTCTGGCTTTTTAAGCCTATCATCTCTTTCCAAAATTGACTTGCCCTTACTTTTTTCCCCATTAAAACAAGTTTTGTTCTTTTCACTGGTTTCTGGGACTTCAAATATGTCTGAGACTTCAAATATATCATGAACAGGACTAGAGGAAAAAGCAGAACTTGGAATTGGTCTTTCTAATGAATCTTCATGAGATTTTATTTTGTGACATTTAGGGGGAAGATTTGCTCTTGATGGATCAGTGAGTGAGCTGGTATTTCGGGACACTGATTCAACCTTTACATTTGAAATTTTCTTTGGACCAACTTCTTTAAAATCTGAAATCTCTTTCACCTTTTCATCTAGCATTCTGATCTGCTCCGAGTAAGAATTGAAGTCCCCAGCTGATGAGTGAACTGAACTTCTCCTTGAACCCAAGCTTTGATCACGAACTACCGGGTCAAAATTTCCAGCATCTACGCTTGAAAACAAATCTTGCATTGGAGTTGGACAGTTTTCTGCATCATTAGTATTCTTCTTTTGATAGAAATCTGTTGGTAAAGTTGCAGGCAGAGAGCTGAGTCTTCTCACAGTGGCTTTAATGGCCTTTTCTCCAAGGCATGTATCATTTCTTTCTGCAAATGGATTCTCTGGAAACTGTTTCTCAAAATCATCCAAATCATCACAGCCCAAGCTTAGAAGTTTGTACTTATAAGCCTGAATTTGGAACTCAAGAGAAGAAATTTCCATTTCTTTCTGATACATAAGATCTTCAAAAATTGCAAGGGACTCCTCTGCATGGCCAATCTTTTCTTCTGCCAATCTCTTGTATTGACTTGCTTCCATCTTCACTGCAGCCTTTTCACCTTGCAAACGCAGTATCATGGACAAAGCTTCATTAGTGGCAGTAGCAGAGGCTTCTCTTTCCACATCTAGCTCGGCATAAAGCTTCTGCAGAAGTTGCTGTTGAGAGAGAAGTGTTTCTTTTAGAACTGTAATATCCGTTTCCTGGATAGCCAAACTTGCACCACTACCAGCCATGGCACATTAATTCAACTTGATACAATGTCAAGCAGACTTGGTTTTGACTTCTGAAAGACAAACAGATCAAATTTCTCTTAATATCAAACACCCAGATAATTATCAAACATTGATCCATTACATATTGATGTGAAAAGCATCCAAAACAAAAAATTGAAAAAGAGAATCAAGTTATGGTAATAGAATTATATAAGAACACAGAAATTAGGGAACTGGTGCATTGCACAAACACATTAATTTCAATAACCATAAAACCCAACATAGGCTTTCGCTATTATATTATCCGTAGAAAATGTTACCATAAAAGCATCATATTTCAGGAAAATAAACGTAGATATATTACATTTTACTGACAAGATTCAAAAACCAGAAGAGAAACTAAATTCCAATAACTATCTAAACTCTAGAAGAAACAAAGGTACCTGGTAGTTTGCATAAAGAAACAAGTTTGATCCTCGGAGCAGGTCCCCGGGCCCTGATTGACGATAAAACGATCAGTTCCTAATCTTCAAGAAACCCAAAATAGCAATCACTGCTAGGCCCTCCAAAACGAAGAGGAATGGAAACTCAAAACAAAACCCAGGTTTCAATTCTGAAAAATCAAAGATAATTTGGAAACAAGAAATAAGAGAATATGGTTAATGGCAAGATAATTCTGTTTTTCTCTCACAATGAAACCTAGGAAACCTGAAATCTGTTGGATTTGGTAAGAATTATTACAGATACGGCTTGGCTTTTGCTTTCCTTTGCATTTTAACAAAGGAAAGCCAAGACCAGCCGCGTCTGGTCTGAAAATGAAAAAAAAAAAATGACAAATGGTTTTGGCCAGTCAATCCTGATAAAGAAGAGAGAGAAAGGCATTAATTGTTGTTTGGAAACTGCTTTGGATTTAAAACGTACGATTAAACCTTGGACATGTCAAGGGTGAGTTAACGTTAAAATCTGCTATTTGTTGGCATTTGAGTTTTATCAGGCGGAACATCATTAATCATGGATGATGAATCATTACCATTGTGGGACATGTTTCCTTCTTTTCTTCTTTTCCCGCAAACTTCGATCAAAACCTTCCATTTTAAAAAAGCCGTTAAGGTTGAAACCCATCTTAACGGCTATTAGATGGTCCGCATGTCTTGCCGACCATTTCAATACATATATTGCCTGCCCCACGCCTTACCTTTGTTATATAAATTTAATATTGACTTTATCTTTGTCAAATTTAATTTTTGATCTCTAAAATTAAAATTTTAATATTTTATTAACAAATTACATGATTATTTATCTTTATCATTCAATATGGTACACGACAAGTTAGATTAATTTGCCTTTGACTGTCAAAGTTAAGGGTCACTTAAGATTAACGTCCAAAAAAGGCTTACACCACAGCAAAATGGCGTATTAACGAAAGTTTTGTTGCGATATTTCACTTATAAACGTCATTAATTTTCGTGTTTTGTTAAAACTTCAAGCGTTTATTATCCAAACGCCACTAAATATTCAAATAGCGACGTTATTACTTATAAATACCACTCAAGATTTGATATTAGAGGTATTTTTCGACTAAAACGTCTTGAATAATTTTTATTAAAAGTTTCGGTGAATAGTTAAGGTATTTTTTGACAGACAACGTCTTCACTAATCACGTTATAAAAAATTATATGAGATTAATGAAGGTGTTGTCTGTAAGAAACGCTTTTAATATTTAGACTAACAATTTCTCCAGGCTTATTAAATTACTTTCTGCAAAAATTCTTTCAATATTAAGCTTATCGAATTGTTTGGATTGTACAGATGTTTACCATAAGATTGTTGGTTTGATTTGTCTTTCAACATTTTTTTTGGGTTTAGGCACAAATTATTTCCTATTGATTATTCTAGGCATTTTCTTGGCAAAAATGCCTTCATCAATTGCTTTAAAAAATTTTTCATAGAATATTGAAGGCGTTTTTTGTAGAGAGATGCCTTTAATAATTGATAGGAAAAATATTGAGTCGATTCTTTAAGGTGTTTTTGGTCGAACTCGCATTTTATAATCCAATCAGTAAATTTTTTTTTTTGGATTTTTAAAGGCGATTTTGTAAAAAACACCTTTAATATTTCATAGACAAAACTTGGATGGGATGGTTGAAGGCGTTTTTGGCTCGAAACACCTTTAATATTCCCAAGGATAAATTTTAATGGTCGAATTATTGAAGGCGTTTATATCCAAAAACGCCTTCATAAACATTTTGTTGGGATTATTGAAGGTGTTACCCGTAGGAAAACGCCTTTTATAATCCATTCGATTGATTTTTAATTGATATTATTGAAGACATTTTTTGCCCAAAATGCCTTTAATATTCCAAACAATAATTTCTTGGAGAGATTATTAAAGGCGATTTTGATAAAAAAATGCCTTCAATGTTTTCTATTAGGGGTAATTGAAGGTGTTTTCTTGCTAAAAATGCCTTCATTAATTGCATAAAAAAACATAATTGATACTTTATATGTGAAGTCAGTTGTAGGTTTATGCCCAGAAAAATGTTTGCTGTCAGTTGCATATTTATGCCCATAAAACATTTGGTTTATATATCTGATACAATGAATTACATTTTGGAATTTGCATAATGAACATTATTGTATTTCAAAAAATTGACCATACATTTGAAATTAAAACTGATAACATTGCCATATTAATATACTTTTTTGAAATAATCGTACTCAGTAATTTAATAAGTATACATAGTATATTTATATTAAGTATAACAATAATATTAAACCAATACCCTCAATGTACAAACTTAAAGTTTCCATTCAACATGGCATGTTAAAAACATTATAACAATTTGTTCCATATATATTTACATTTAACCAACAATGACTAACTTGAAGGTTTATCAACATTGATAAATCACAATACAAAATCACACCATTCTTTACGGACTTCATCCAGCTCTTCTTCTGTGAAGCTTTCTTTACCCTCCCACTAAAAAAAAATATCATAAGTAAATGTTAAGAAATGAGAACATAATGTACCGTTTTATTTTTTTTGAATATATGACGAGTTTATGAAATTTATACTAACCTTGAATGGTGTGGTTATAAAATCATGTAACACTAATCTCTTACATAAAACGAAGGATATAATATCCACATTCAGTATTATCGGGTTGACGATGTATCTAAAAATTAAATTAAGTCGGTTTAAAAAATATTTATCTACATAAACTCAGCATTAAAAGAATAAATTTGACATTTATCGGTAATGACACCCATTTTGGTTTCTTTATCTTCTTATTGAATGCAAATATTACCCTAAATTGAAAAAAAAAATTAGTGGGAACATAAATAAAATTTTTTATGAAGAAACATAACATATATAATATAATAAAGTACTGTAATACCTCTTTATAAAATTTTAAATATCGGGGTTAGGCATTGTCATTGGATTAACTGAATTAAGAAAGTATGACGTTAAGGATTTGGTGTCAATCATAATAAGCACCTAATGACGATTGTAAAATAATAACAATAATATACTCAGAATACATATTAGATTATATAATGGAGAAGGTTAGAGTAATTAAGGTTGGAATATAGCTTACTGCATTATACGAGAGCAAATAATAATCAACCGGTCTTTTCATGCATAGGATCACATGATTAGCACGATATATGATTGTGCCCCTCTGCTCACTAATGAAGTTGGGGTCAATGAATCTAAATCTGTTCATCAATTATCTCCCCTTCAACTCTCTATACAGGAAGTTACATGATAACAATCAACACTGCTAGTTAGTATTGCACCCTAATACTAACTTACTACATATTGAATGTGCATATTTGTATTTATAAGCTAACCTCATATAAGTAACGATTTCAGTAGTTGATAATTCATCTATTTCATAAAATTCTTTCACCTCATCCATACCAATGAAAGAAAATGATTATTTATCAAATAAGTCTTCTTCAAACTCAATGGATATGAAATTTTCATCGGTACTATTCTTCAACAAATATTTTATTAACTCATCCATAAAGGCCTGGACAAGGGTCAGACTTTGAGTCAGAACATCCTCCTACAATATTTAATGAAATATAAATATTAAAACCAAATCATTCAATATAATAAACAAACTAATATTCAAATTATAAAAAATATCAGACTTCTTGGGTGGTAGTGGATGATGGGATGGCTTCCTTACTTGTAATGGAAGCTTATCGTACGGGGACGATGCTATCAGGCTGGGGTACTAGCATAACTTGCTGCATTACTGCCAACATAGACTCCAAAGCAGCGAGCCTTTGCTGTTGGTCATTGAGGCGTTGCTCCTGGTTATTAATTTGTTGCTGTTGTTGCTCAATTATTGCTTCATATTGTGCATTTCTCGTTCGAGAGGTTTTTGGTTGTTTACCAAAATATGTTGATGGAAGACAAATTTACCAACCCCACAAATTCGACCAGACCTTTCTTTAGCACCTAATCCTAAAGACAAAGGATCTTCGCCATATTGGGTTACCAGTTCATCAGATTTTACTTTGGTAATATAATCATCCTGAAAGACAATAATAAGTTGAGTTATTAGAACAAATCTACACAAGCTAGTATACACTCATGCATACAACCACAATGCCAATCATACATTATATAAAAAAAATAGTTATACATACAATCTTTTTTGCTATTTTCTCGGTTGCTTCATTTATGAAGGATCCATCTTTTCATAGATGTCCTTGTTTCCAGACATCTCATTCGAAAACTTTTGTGTTTGAGCTCATCGATTTCTATTAAATCACCTAATAAAAGAATCAAAATGTATGAAATAAATGTTCATAAATATTCATTAATGAGTATAAAATAAGTGTGCGAATACATACAAACTCATACTTCACAGTTGCATATCTTTTTCTTGCTGTCCGATGGCAATGTTATTGTTTGGCCCAAATGTCCCAATGTTGTTATTTGATTTTCTACAAAATCAAGAAATTACGTCAATCACATATAAAGATCAAAGGCTATATTGCATAAAGACTTATAAACTTGGACTAATTTGGTAATGGGTTTACACACCGAGAAATCTTCTGAAAGTCGATGTTGCATAAAATTTATCCAATCTTCAACACTTATGACATCTGCATATGTCGTAGGTGAAATAACCAAAACATCACCTTCACCAGCTAGCAGTAAAATATATTGAGTTGTCAATTTACTTTTAAAGTCTTTAAAAGCTTTCCCAGCAGATTGTAACACAATCTTTTTACACTCAATTGGGACATCAAACTGTTCTTAAATAAGTTAACACAAATAGTATCAACACATTGAATTTCAATTAAATGATCATATAACAAATTTTACGAAATAGTTGAATAAATATACCACAACGGACTGCCATATCTCATCCTTTAGATCATCAGAAACTCATCATCAATCGATGTATGTAATTGAAATCCTTCGACGGATGATGGCTCTAATATGAGTAGCCATCTTGGTAGCTTTTTTCGACACAAGCTACCCACTTCGATTGAAGTCAACATGAATTTTTGTGTCAGTCACTTTGATTTGTTTATTTGGGCCCCTTCATTTTCTTTTTTGGCCTACACTTCTTTTTTTTACATGTTTATTAGAAGGAGAACAATGTTGTTCGGAGTCCATATTACCTGTAATATTGATCATAATTATACGAATTACATAATATGACTCTCTAAATTGACCATTGTACTTAATTTAATACAACCAATATCATACTATGTACAGAAACAACATTTAGCACACCATTCAACAATGTGCTCATACACACCCTTCAACAAACCACTCAAAAACATCATTCAGCCCCCATTCAAACTCATTCAGCAAAATAATATTAGACAATAAAGTTCAGGAAACCATTCAGCATGAAATATTATTCAGACCCTTAATATTATACAATACC